CAACACAGATAACGTGGTCGACGAGGCTGTGGACTTTCAAGTGGGGGAAGAGATAAAAGATGAGTGAGAAGGCTCCCATTTAACAGCTCCATCTCTCCAACAGCTTGAAATCAAACCATCACAAACCACAATTATCATCCAAGACGATGCTTTCCAGGTCGTCGTCTGACTTGGTTAAGCCATACAAGTATGTCGATATATGTCAATCGCAGTCGAGCGCGAGTCTGTGCGATCTTACAGTCGGAAGACTTCGCATCGATTGTTGCTTTCTCATGTCCAAGATGCGTTGGGGGCAGCTCCGCGATCAGGATTCAGGCCTGATGTACCTGGATCTAACGTTCCATCAACCCGTCGACTGCAAGCTAGCGCAAGCAACCATCACCCTGAGTTTTCAGAGTATTCAGCAATCATCGAGTTCAATGTCTCCGCTCGAAGTAACCGAGTTCTTCGGCCCGCAGGCTCTGAGTGGTGAGAAAAGGGAGCGACAAGTATCCAACGCCTTTGAGGCCACCCCCAAATTCGGAGCTGCCAGTACCAGTGTTGAAGGAATTGGCATGTCAAGAAGATCCGAAGTCAACTATGCTTCGCGATGGAAATTTACGGGCACGCGATTCGCAGCTGACACCTCCAACGACTCATTCACCCGAAGCAGTCAGTATCGACAGCTAGTTTGGCATTTGGAAGAAAACGAACTAGAGCGACAGGCGGTGCATCACTCCATTGTACATACTGCCCTTGCCTTTCACCACAACTCCAGCCCGTTCTACCTGGACGTGCAGGTCGAGGTCAAGATGCGGAGATGGCGCCACCGGCTCCAGCAACGCCTGGTCTGTCCCCCTCGAGGTCGGAAGGCCATAACGAGAGCCAAGATCGAACCACCCCCGGACAAATTCGCAGACCCACAATTTCCCCAGCTGGCCAGGGATTTAAATCAGGCCCTGACTGAAGAGAACTTGCATCCTGTGGTTGGTAAGTACACGAGGCCAAAGGCCGTCATGGAACGAACCCTTCCACTAAGCCATCACAGAGGTATCCGACCCCAAGCCAGCAGCGACCTTAGCCGACGACTCTCAGGATAAAGACCCAGACACAGAAGTCGAATCCCGATCTCTTCCCGATGAAGCTTTACTTGCGCTTGCCCGGCAGCTGACTGGGCAAGAACCGCCTAGTGTATCTACCGCGCCCAAAAGCAGTCTTGGATTGCCTACGCAGACAGCGGAGAGTTCCAGCGCCACGCTGGTAGGATCCACCGCGTCGTTAAACGAAATAGATGATCAGACAGAGACAAAGTCTGCTATACCTGACGCTGGTGATTCCTTGATCTCTGTCCCCGCCGCAGAAGTTGCGAAGACCAAAGCGATCCGCGACAATGGATTGTACATCGTTCTTGCGGTCACACGCCAGACGTTGCAACTACTGGAAGTTACGATAGCATGGTTGATCCTGGGTTTGGGCAGACTACATTCGGTCCTTGCTCAAGCAAAGAAATGAACTTCAGAATATCGACGCCCAGAAGGACGTTGTGCATTTCTTTAACACTTGCTATAAGGTCTATACTAGTTCCTCATACGTCTGCCCAGCCCCTACAGGACAACTGTTCAAGACAAGGTACTCAGTATTATAGCATGACCAGACGCCCGCGACAAGATAGAGCAAAACCTGCGGGTTTGGTAAACTCGAAGGCCTCAGTGAGTGTCCGCGACTTGGAGCAACATGACGTTAATGTACTCTGGTCAAACCCTTATCCTACAAAGAAATCTTGTGTATCATATCCAAAAGAAGTTTATACCCCATCGCATCCAGGATGATCACATGTACGCTCTTTGGAGAAGTCTGTTTCATGTCAAGAAAAATCCGCATATTCAGGATAATGAGGGTTAGTCTTGTTAATATGATCATCCTATGATTCTACTCTTACCTAGCCACACCCTTGTCTATACAGTGTGGACCATAACATCAGATTAATTACATCGCCTGGCCTTTCTAAGATAGTTCGGTAGTCCTCCTCTTCATAGTAAAACTACGCTCCATGCCCGGAGCTACCACTATGGCTTATATTAATATTTCTAGAGTATTTACACAAGTCCCTTTATAGGTACTTACCGTGGTCTTTCCGCTGTCACAGACAACTACTTTGTACAAGCCGGAGAACTTCATGTACACCGATGGTAGAGCATACTTGTATGTATTTAACATCTATTGAAATCATATCAGGAGTATTTGTCATGAGTAACCAAAATTATATCGGTGACAATATGCGAATGCACCAAATACGTAGCGTTCAGAGGAACCCCTTCGGTGACCTGGTCCAAGCCAGACGTGAAAGGATCCAACCGGTTCTTGCAGGCAATCCGCCCATGCTCATCCAGCCAGAGAATCTTGATCAAGCCGTACTCAACAACTTCTCGCTCCAACAGGTACAAATCTACCGGGATTCTCAGATATGCGAGACAGAATCCCCGCCACTTCTCCTCGAGACCCGCCTACAGATCTTATGGTTCCAAAATCAGCAGTATAACCCAAGAAGTCTATTGGTATCTATATGCGAATGCAATCCGTCCATCCCAAACTCAAACTCGGCCTCGTAAAATGCAATGATATCCACCCCCTACTTCAGGTATATACATCGTAAACCTTTCTCATTACCACCCCCCACCAATCTTCCCAGCCAGCTCGACAACACGCGTCGTGTCGTTAGGCGCCGCCGTCTTGTCTTTGCCTACATCGCTCTCCACCTCGCGGTAGGTAGTGTAGATCAGCTTCGACAGAGGCACGTCGATGAGCTCGGACCAGCGCCGTAAAGCCTGATGGATCTGCTCTTCCTTATCCTTGATGGAAGGCGGCTGTGCGGAGATCTCCGAGTCCGAGTCCGCTGAGTAATATGCTTCGTCCACACGAGCTAGCCACGCGCGCTGTTCATGCGGGGATGGTTTGGACGGAGCTTCCTGCGCGGTAGGCTCCGAGCTGGAGATGGTAGTGGTAGCCTGGCGCGCGTCTTCGATGCGGATCTGTCCGCCTCCGTTGGTGCAGCCGCCGGGGCAGGCCATGACTTCGACGTAGGCGTATTCGGGACCTGACCCTGCGGCTGCATTGCGGGACATTGGTTGTCGCCGGTTGGTGGATACTGAAGCTTTCGCACCTGGGAGTCGAGAGGCTCGTGCAGGTTTCAGCTTGCGCACGAGGTTCTGGATGTTTCGGAACCCGTAGTACCGCGCTGCTTTGAGGAGGGGCTCGTTGGTTGCGGATATGAGGGAGTACTCTACCACGTCTGCGTTTCGCCCGCGCTGCGCGACGATCTGGCTGCCTGGATGACGGGCTTGGAAGGATAGAAGCACGTGGTAGAGATAGCCGCCGGAGGTGGATGCGTCTGTCGACTGCTCCGGCGATAGGCGCTTGGAGAACAGGAATGAGTCCAGGCCAGCGTCTGGGAACGTCGGGGTGTAGGACGAGGAGAGGGGTTTGAGCGGCAAAGAGGGGAGGGAGACTCCTCGTGCGGATGCCAAGGTCAACAGCTCGCGCGAGGTAATGACACAATCTACATCGCGCACCGGGGACGAATCCTGTGCGGCATCGGGGTTCCACGCGGCGTCGGTGAGTTCCTCTCGACTAGCCTCCAGCTTCTTATCGAAACAGGGCATGACCGCCACATGCCATATCTGAGAAGCAGGGACGCCGAGGGCCTTACTCAAGACGCTCTTCAAGAAAGTGCCCGCCAGCGCCTGGGGTGATTTGAGGCGCGATAGGTGAGGGAGGATGAACGGGTGGGTTTTTTCCGCATAACAGATCCACCCTGGGCAGGCCGAGGATAAGATGGGCCGCTTGGGGAGGTTGCTGCCCGCATTGTTCGATGTTAACGTTTCCGCCACCTCGTCCGCTGTGAGAGTCAAAACGGCTTCGCGCAAGACGTTGGTGTCAACGACCCAGCTAAATCCGCTTCCGTGCTTGCCTCCAGCCCTCAACCCCTGCGGACCGCTGAGAAACTGGTGGATCATGTGTGTTGCCTCCTTTTCGGAAATCCCATAGGTAGCTGCCAAGCTGGCCCTGGCCTGGGGGCTGACGCTAGCAACGAAGATGCGACCTTCGCTCGACGATGCGCCATCGATATCCGCCGCGACTCCATCCTGTGTCGTGCGAAGAGGAATCTCGGGGTGCGCATCAAGGTTGTTCAAGACTTCGGTATGCGATTGCAGCGACACCAAAACTGCTTCGGCCGACGTCACACATCCCGAGCACGCAAGGCAATCCGTCAGCGAGATCTCCGCCGGGGGCGCACTCTCCGGCTGAACTTTGTCTTCTTTGGTTACTTCGTATGGGTTCTAAGATTACCAATCAGTTTCTGGTCACCAAGCCGCGGAGTGCGATATCGGCGAGCAATATGGGTGGTAGTACCTCTGAGTTTGCAGGCTCCTTCTGCGGAAGGGTCTCGACGGGTTTAATGCACGCGACTCCGGGTGAGATGAAATCGTTCAAGTCGTCTGCCGACAGAATGGCGCTCATCGTGACCGATGCGGCGAACCCCGCGGAGCGATTATCGGGAAGAGATAGCGGCCCCGCAGGCGAAGAAACTGAGATCTGCTTTCGTAGATGACAAACGGTAGGAACGTCGGGCTGTACCAAGTCTGGTGTTTAGGAGGAGAAGCAAGTATCACGATACGAGAAGATCAAGAAGATCAAGAAGTGAAAATAATGAGATCAATCTAGAAGATTGTATGGAATGATGAGGGAAGTTTATCATCCGGCGTGGCGAGGGAACCAACAGGAATCAGCCGATTATTATTAAGAACGGACTACTGATAAGCTCACCGCTTCAATTCTGCCGCAGAAATTCCATACACACAAGTTGCCTACTCCGGAATAGCTGTTGACAAGGGAATAAATCCATAAAAATTGTTCCTATATGCTTGAGACAAAAAAAGTTGATAATACCGACAAAAAAGTAGAACAATCAGCGACTCAATGAGGGGGCATTAAAAAAAAAAAGAAAAGCAAAAAGTTGAAGATGCTCCCTGGGGGAATCGAACCCTCGACTTCAGCTATTCCGGTCATGGAGAATCCTCTGCGAGGTAGTTCACCATAAGAGCCGCGCCATAACCACTAGGCCAAGGGAGCTGTTTCTAAGTGGCAATAACCAGCACTTTAATCCTATGAACTCTTTCTGTTCCCCTTCTTCCAGCCAGGCCCATTCCATGGACGCCCCACTGATAAGCCCTCACCGCCCGGTGCTGATCCACAGTGATGGCGGTGCGACTGGAATACGAGGTGAGTCAGGATGGTTTAGGCAGTTCAGGAACAAGTTACAACAATCCCCGGATTTCAGCCTCATGTAGATAATATAAATATGTCGTTGTCGTCGTGCTTCGACTGACAATTTCAAGTTCCCATTTCCAAAAATATTCTCGAGAATACATCAAACATGTCAAAACAACCACAAAAGTACACCCAAAGTACTCTCCCCAAATCCTGGACCCAGCCATCGAGCGCCAATTCCCCATCAAGTTCCAAATCCTCCAAGGGGCCAAATCGGCGCGAGACCTTACGCGCAACAGCAGAAGAGACAAAGGCGCTTCTGCCGCAGCTCCTCGCCCTGCGGCCCCAGGCGCCCCCAGACGGATATTACTACTCACATGCGCGAACTCGCGTCCTGGACGCCAGATACAGACCCAAGAACCTCAGCACCAGCGTAGAGGTCGTCAATGCAGATACGTACGATACAGCGATCGACCTTGCCGGTGCGAATGGCTTCCTCCACCACGATCACTCCGCCAAGATCTGCGTGCTGAATCTCGCGAGCGAGAAGCACGCCGGTGGGGGGTGGTTGCGAGGCGCAATGGCCCAGGAGGAGGCGCTCTGCTATCGCAGTAGTCTCAGCTTTACGCTCAAGCGGCGGTTCTATCCCATCCGTGACCGTGATGCCATATACTCGCCGACGGTGCTCATCATGCGGGAGAACTTTGATCAAGGCCATCGGTTGATGGACCTGCAAAGACCCGACTTACTCCCCGTTGTCAGCGTTGTCAGTGTGGCTGCGGTGCGGAGGCCGGAGATCTTGAACGCGAATCCGCCCAGGTTCAAACACAACGCTGATCGGCATTTGACCAAGGATAAGATGCGAGCTGTTCTCCGGGTGGCGGCGTTCAATAGACAGCGGAGGCTGGTCCTGGGCGCGCTGGGCTGCGGGGCCTTTGCGAACCCTAAACAGGAGGTTGCAGACTGCTGGGCGGAGGTCTTGCAGGAACAGGAGTTTCAGGGTTGGTGGGAACGCATCGTCTTTGCAGTATTAGAGACCGCCGGTGGGCCCGCTATGAGTACCGGGAATTTCGATACATTTCGCAACAAGCTGCAGGGTCTCAGGGTTTGATTGATACCGAGATATCGGATGGAATATGTGGTTGATAGCGACATTGATAATGTACATAGCCTCAATACGTCAAACAAGTCAGATACCAAGCAATGTTTATTTTCTGGTCCGCGTCGAGCGTCGCCGGCCGACGGATGACACCTCAGGTTTGATCTCTTCTTCGTTCTTTAGGCTCTGTTTGCTCTGTCGTTTCGACTCTGCTCTTTTCGGCTTCGGCTCCTCCTCCTCTTCCTCTTCCTTAACCCGTGTACTGCTTTCTTCCTTCGTAGCTCTCTTCCGCTTAGACTCCCCCTGGGCGGCGCTGGAATCATCCCCATTAATGTCCATTGATACTGGGCCCGTCTTCTTCTGTACACTCGGCACCACCGCACTTGTCCGCCCGCCCACAGTAAGGAAGACGATTTTCTCCCCGTTGGGTAGAGCCGAGGTGCTGTTCTTCTTTCCTTTACTCCACCGGTGCTTGAATAGCCAATCCTCGGGGAACTTGTCCGAATCCGCGAGGAGGTCTACCGAGGTTGAGCAGACGTAGTGGATTGCCGAGTTGAGTTCTTTGATCTGATCATCCCCCAAGGTGTTGCTATATTGTTCTGGGTGTATTTTCGCATGATACAGAATCTCATCTCTAGTATGCATCAGTATCACTATCAAATCAGTAGATGATCGCGTAGGGGACAAACCCCATCCAGTTCCCGATCCCGCTAATATTAGCCTGATCCAGAAGAAGCGCCTTGATAGGCACTCTCTTACTGCGCAGCTTCTGCGCCAGCCACTCCTGCGTCACCACATCCTTATCAACCACCGGATCGGGCCCATTCTCTTTCAGTGGACTATACTTGCGGATCTCCTCCGCCGGGCAATCCACCAGTCGGATCCTGCTTAACCGGCGGAAGTCCACAAACGCCGCCTCCGTCACGGGGCTCCCATCCGTCTCCAGGAGAAACTTCCAATACTTCGGTGGCCACTCCTTGTCCGCGGGTTTATCAGTCCGGTAGTAGTAAGTGTCTGCGTCGCGGATCTTCAGCCAGCCTGCCATGCCGAAATGCATCACCGCGTGCGGGGGGGAGTCCATGGCGATCCAGAAATATTTCCCTTGTTGGCCTGCGCCTGCAATCTTCTTGCCTTGCATGGCTTTTTGGAAGTCTGTGGCGCTGGTCCCTGCTTTGCCGTAGACGATGTCATCATTTTGGGTGGATACCTTGGTGAGGGTCTTCCCGACTAGATGTTGGCGGATGAAGTGCACGATGCGCGACACTTCTGCGAGTTCCGGCATGGTTGGTTGATTGATGCAGTTGGTCTATTGATGCGATGAAGTACGAATTAAATTGGCCTGTTGACAGATAGTGAACGAATTCTGGGTGTCAGCGCTGTGAGGGACGCAGGCTGCAGGCAGTAAACGAGGTATGACTAAAGTTGGCAGGGTTGGTTAACTATGCGGACCTCCTAAGTGGGTCTCGTACAGATCAAGTCCGATATTTTGCCAAGAAGAGAGCTGACATGGGATTAGAAAGAGGCTGCACAAATGCGATGATGGTGAACATTTTCAAAGGAGAAGTGACACGGAAAAGAAACCCTTAATCTCACTATGAAAGAATTGGATGAAGAAGCCCCATGCGTGTGCTGGACATTCTGTGTAGGAGTTGAAAGACTAATTCCTTTCATGTACGGCGTAGTAGGTAAGAACATCCATGTCTAGTCCTTACTCGTCCATGTAGTGCAGAATGCGTGTCTCTGCTCCTGTATTGTCTCTTCATGCCAATCTAAGACCGCGTCTTGATCTGTGGAGTTTACAGCAATCAATCAAGCCGATATGATGGATTGATGAATTGATGGATGACTAATGCTGATCATGGAACCCGTGCATGAAGTGGACTCCGCAACCCATTTAACTAACCTTCCTGGGCAATCAACTCTCCAACGCACTCAAACATCTCGAGCTCATCAAGTTGTGTAGCGGCGCGTTAGCAACTGTCCCTACGGAGTACAGTCGCAGATATATCGCCCCGCCAATCTCTGTCTCCACACGTGCATAACACGATCGCACGATCTGACGTCAACCCGACGGACACTCGTACGAACTAACTGATTTGCCGCCAATCTGGAGTGGTTTTGGGCGACGAGTATCAGGCGAGGGCAGACTCCCGACCCGGGGAAGGTTTCGAAAATGACCAAGGCTACGGAGACGCCAGCTCCCCGACTGACTCCTCAGTTCTGTTTCAATGAGCGGTTACTTCGGGGTACGTTACGACCGGAGCATCGATGCAATGGCGCATACCAGGGCTAATCAACCTGCACCGACTAGACTTCCTGCGTCTTTCGCGATCAACGATCGATGATTCGATCACGCAAAACCTCAACGCCCTGTACACCCCCGCACGCGAAGGATTCGACCCCTCTTCGACCGCTATCCGACAGACCGACTCCCGTCTCGAACGACCCATCGACCCGACGGCGTGCCAGGACTTTCAGGATAAAGTGCTCTTTCCGTCATGGCAGACTCGATCGGACGTGCTCACCTACTGCGCCGGTGTGGCCACGAGTCCCGACCCCGAAGATCCGGACTTGCTCCTCCGGCAGACGGAGTCCGCCCAGGATCGAGAGAGAGTCGTCGATGAGCGGCTTGATCCCTACTCCGCTCGGTTCTTTCCGCGAGAGGCACGCACCGAGTCTCTGGCCAATGTGGTTCGGAACCAGCGTATGGTGGAGGAGATCATTCGGTCGCGAACCTGGGGCCTCGTGTCGGAGAGATGTGATGTCCCGTCGGCCGGCTGGGAGGAGGCATTGAACCAGTGGCGTGAGAGACAGCAACGCTGATGGTTTGCTCCTGGTGAGCCGCCCCGTTTGATGGGTTTGGCGTATAATCGGACCCTCGGAGGTCCTCACTGTATATAAAAAGCATATGTGACATGCGATCGTTGTACTGTACTCTAGGCGTTTGGGATCCCATTCTCCATTCTATTAGCATTCACTCCTCCATATTCCTACATCCATCTGAGTGGCCATATCATAGGAATATCGATCGGGAAGACGTAGAAGATGTTCGGGTAATTGTTGGATCGGATGATCGGCCAGGTTGGGGGGTTCAACAAAACTCTAACCACATCAAAAACAGTCTTTTCGCTTCATTGACCGTTCAAAATCACTAATCCAGAATTCGCGAATATTAATTTTCCAGATATACCTTTCACTGCATAGCTAGTGCTCGATATTGGGCCCACATGGACTGACGGATTGATCGACAAGGTGAATCGCTCGCTGGTTGTTCCGCTCGCCGCCTTAGGCACTCGGCCTTTTCTCCCCCCGCGCACATCTCAAGGCCACGCACAGTCACCGACCTTGGCAAGTCTTTCCACTCCGCCAACGTCCCATTCTCTCTCCTCCTCCCTCCCCCCACCCACAACCTCACCATGCCGCAACCATTGAGCTCCAAGGATGCCTCTCTGTTTCGCCAGGTGGTCCGACACTATGAAAACAAACAGCACAAGAAGGGTAAACACCGGAATCCCTCCCCCTCCCCCGATCTTCTCCCACTTGAGACGTCATTTGTTAACTCCGGGCCCGCTTGGGCAAAATTCATACTCTAGGTATCAAAGCCGCAGAACAGATCCTGCGAAAGAACCCCAACCATGGCGACACCCTGGCGATGAAGGCATTGATCATCAGCCAACAAGGGCAGCAGGAGGAGGCCTTCGCGCTGGCCAAGGAAGCCCTCAAGAACGACATGAAATCGCACATCTGCTGGCACGTCTACGGT